TACAATTATTTTGGAATTCCTAGTGCCACATAGAAACCGTAGTACATTGGCTTGTAGAACTAAGTGTCCTTGACAAGTTGAGAAACACAGCATGAAAAGAACAAAGAAGTACCCTCTATCTTTGCAATATGTGAATTCTTCAGCCTGTACTTTTAGGCTGTGTTGCATTAAGCTAGAAAGAACAATTAAGTGGCCTTTGTAACTTTCATATGTAGGCAGAAATTTTCATAGTAGATAGAATGGATGTACACACACACACACAAATTTTATAAAAATTCACATATGATTTCTAGAATTGCTAAAAATTGGTGGCTTCATTATAGTGGAAAAAAATATTCAGGCTATAAGGTTTTTTTTTTTTTCCATTCAACTGAGACCAGTGGTTAGTGGATTATAATTCCATTACGCAACTTTAACTGTTAAGTGCTGGTTGTTTCTTTTAAATGCATGTGGAAAATGTTGTCCATTCATACAAGTATTTAAATCTTGTTTGTTCTTAAATAAACCTTGACTACAGATTTTGCTATTTGACATTGTTTTGGTGCCCTTGAGTCACTATTTGACTCTTGCCTGGATAAGTACCTGAAGTTATCTTGATAACATTTCAGGAGTGGTTTGCCATTGTCTCCTTCCTACAGTCGAGAGAGGTTGACTGTACCAAGATCAACAAGTTGGCTTTGAGTCTAAGGTGGAATTAGAACACATGGTCTCCAGCTTTTTAGTCTGGTGCCTTAACCACTACATCAAACTGGCTCTTTAGTATAATTTAGAGTATATGAAATATTATCTCAATCTTGAATCATTTTCTTAAGAGGAAGGAATACCAATAAGATATGCCAAAACAACACGGGGTTCTGTATAGTAGAGACATTCTGCTGGCAAATGTATTTGTTGTTAGAATGGATTCATTCTTTCCTACTGCAAGGCTCCAGAACAGATCTGAGGATATGATGAAGGATGTGGAGAGTGAAGGAAAGTTCCAATACATTTGCAGAAGCTGGACTATAGATGTAGCTTCTGATACATAGGTCAAACCTGTGGATACAGGATATTTAGCAGGCATGTATAATTACCCTATAACTCTTACATAGTTAAATAAAAAGTATATACTTGTATACCCATAGATTAAAATTAACGTGCCCCAAACATGCTGAAAGTGAATTTTCAAGCTATATATAATATATAATTTTATAATATTTTTTTCCAAACACTATCATTTTGCTAAAATTTATGTTGACCAAATAATGTTTCACCATCATATGCTATATTATTGCATTTTTCTGCTTTTTTAAAGCTGGTAGAACCAAAATAGCTGCATTTTATAAGATAAAAACACATTACTCTTAATTACAGCACACACTATTCCTAGCTAGATGTGCTAAATTGGCTTCTTAAAATTAAAGGATAGTGTCTAGTTTTCTATATCAAATCTACTTCAAGGGAAGTCTCCTTTTTCAAAAATAATCATATGCTGGAGATTTTACAAAAATGTTGACAAAATTTGGATTCTAACCTCTGACTTTTCTCATTCTTCTTTCGAACACACTTTCAAATGAAATTTGCTAAATGCCTCCCCCCAAGACCCCCCCAAACAGGCGTGTTTTAATTTCTCCCATCCGAAGCCTACTAGGGTTATTTTTTTTTTAAATAGACATGTAGAAGCTAAAGTTCTCCAAATAGTTACAATTGTTCCAAGTAACACTTTTAATAGAAAATATCCTTTTAAGTAATCTTGTTACCTCACTTCCCCTCACAGAAGAAGATCTAAAGGAGCAAAGCTCCTATTATCCTAATACTTTAAGAGATTTTCACCGAAAGACTTCAGTAACAGAATAGGCAGCCTGTCCAGAACCCCTCCTCATTCTGACTTATGGTCCTTTTCTAGTTTTTATTATTTCATTGCTTCTCCAAAACAGTTTGGTTTTGTGAAGACCATGCAATTCCGTTGTAAAATGCATTGGAGACAGCTTATTTAGATGTCAAACCTATCTGGATGTTTTCATGAAATCAGTTGGAAAAGCAATAGATCCAGGCAGATAACACACATAGATTCTGTTAGGAAGCGTAAAGATTTGAATTACTATGTTATATATAGAGGTTTTACATAGGAATATTATTATTGAAAATCCAGGTTTGTAGTTTTAATTTGGTACTAGTCATAGGGAATAGTAATTATCCTACAGAGCATTTTGGGGGATTTCTATACCATCTTTAAATGGAATCAACTTTTATAGGAGAGCTGGTTACATTTTTCTGCCATATGTAACAAGAACAAATGCAACCAATGACAAAATTAAGTTATGTGAATCTGGTAGTTCCACATATGTAGTTGTTAAATGTTTTTATACATTTCGCTGTTTACATATGCTGTAAGTGTGAACCTGCCTTGTTTTCTACTATTTGGTCCCAACTTATAGCTTTAAACTGTACTTATTTTGGAAGGTTAGTTCACATGGACTCTTATATTTAACAGTTTCATCGGGTTGTTTCTTTGGGACGAAAGGAGTTTCTCAAGAGTTTTTTTTTTTTTTTTCTGTCTCTGCTTTCAGTGAAAAGAGGAGAGCAAAGCCATCCGCTTACCACAAAGCAGTCCCACCACAAAGGAAAGATTAAGGGTTTAGGGAGAGGTCAATGTGGGTTTTTCTCTAACTAAACACTTTCCTAAAGTTTCCTTGTGGAAAAATAATGAAGTCATCTAAGAGTTTTTAAAGAATTTTTATTTCTTTTTCACCGTCTGCATTCGCTTGTCTTCTCAGCATGGATGTTTAATCTTTCTAGGCTTTGTGAATTGGCCCAAATGAATAAATGGCGAGCTGTCTCTCTAGGAGCTAGCGGCTTATTCTAAGGCCCTAATCACTGAGTAAACACATCTTTGCCCTCCCTCTCTTACAACTGCTATATAATAGTGGAGATTCTAGCACAGTAACCTGGATATTGCAGGGATCCATGCTTTGAAATGCAGAATGGCTGATCCTCCAAAACAGACAGTGCCTGATCTTCTCCTGCCTCTTTCTTCTTTTTTAAATTAAATATCACCACAGAAATGCTGTTTTATTGCCTGATATTGTGCATTAGTGCCCTGGATTTTCAAGTTTAGTTTCAGTCAACATTGTTGGCTGCACTTATATGGGACTGTGCATGTTAGGCTTATTGGTGGCCTTTTCTGAAGTATGTATACTTTGGAATAACTTTTTAAATTAAAGGAGACAAATATTAATGTAATGTCTAATCCCTTTTCCAAAGTCTATGTTCAAATGATTCCATACTTTTTAAAACAGATCTTAGAATTTTCCCAAACTCTGTTTTTTTAAACATTGATTTAAAAGAAATCATTCATTACAAATTAACTTTCCATGTATTTATTTGCCACTGACATTTTTGGATAAAGATAGCCATAGCTTGCATATAGTTCATAGAAGTATTTTTAAGCTGGACTTGCCTAGTGCCATTTTTTCCAATAACCCATTGCATGCTTTTTCTCAATATGCTATATTGCAAATTCCAAATTCCAAAGTAGTTTACTATTGACATTGTTATTGGGAAAAATATTATGGAAGATTGATTATTATCCATGATAAAGAGACATGTTAACAAATTGGGGCATTTTCATATACAGGAGTAGGTTTACTGAGAAGAACAAATTTTACTTCTATCAGAATATGTTGATTCTGTGCTGGTCATGGCAAAAAAACCCTTCTTTTTCACAGAACTTTGAACCTTGTTAAAATAATCTAGGCTTCTCATGGCAATTCCCTTATTATAAGGTACATTATCTTCTCCAATGGTATTTCAGTTCTAACTTTGAAAATTGAAAATTAGAATGGTTCAAGTAAAAAAAAAGGCAGGGTAGTACTTTATGTGAACTTGTATATTAATTTTTGTTTGTTTATTTATTTATTTAATGATACATGTATAAGTCTTCGCTTCTCCAGTTCTAGCCTCCTGAAAAAAAACATACTCCTTCCAACTTTTTCCTTGAGTTTATTTTCTGATATTATTTTTTCCTTCTTTTTTGTATTTGATATTTATTTTAGTGTAATTTATTTAATGTAGTTCAGAGCAAATTTGATGGTTAGTTATAATTATCCTCCCTAGGATGTAATGTAAATTATTCTATTTACTAGTAATATATTGTGTAAATTAATTATAATTATACAGCCATAGAAAGTTATGAGATAAAAAGACTTTAATTTAATCAACCAGGAAACAAATATGCGAATAGGATTAGCAAGACTGCTGTTTCCATAGAGCTATGACAAAAATGCATGTGGTTGGTAAATATGAGAAAGATTTGATGAAAAGATTACATTATATGTATATTAAGGCACACACTATTAGAATTAAATAGAACTGTATATTATATGAAATATAAGGCTGCCATTGACTATAGCATTCCTTTATTGAATTTTTTCCCCTACTTAAAGGCTGGTAAAATTATGCCTTGTTATCAGTCAGACAATACTTGCAGCAAATGTGATTAGCACTTAATATATTAATAATTGTAAGGAAATATAATCATGTTTTCATTTTGTAATACAAAGAAAAAAATTATTAATGTAAGAATAAAGTTCTACAAATAGGCTTCATTTAATCTACTTCCTCAGTAATTCTACCAGGAACAACTGTTTTGTGGTAGCTTTGCCTATATTAGTATTTTTCAATCTCATCAGCTTTAACACATGTAGACCAATATCTAGAATTCTTCAATCAGCATGAGTTTAAGGCCACATCTTAGATTGAGAAACCCTGGTTTATACCAACTTTCCCCAACCTCCTTTCTTAGTCGTCAACTGCCAGAATCTCTAGGCAGCAGGTAATGGTTATAACTCTTTTGAAGGGAATTTATATTGTATAAGGATAGTCTATATATGAAGACTGAAATACAGTGAAGTATGTTCTACTGAAATTCAAATAAATACTTGATTAGATGTAAGACATGAATTACATTTATATTGTGAAAATTATGGGAAATTATTTCCGTCTGATTTTCTGTTTTACAGAGAAAGCTTCTTGCTGTCTACCTCCACCAGGATGAAAGTGTGCTGACTAATGTATTCTGCTCTCAAATGCTTTGTGCTGAATCTATTGTTTCCTACCTGAGTCAAAACTTTATAACATGGGCATGGGATATGACAAAAGAAGCAAATCGAGCAAGGTAAGTTGAAATGGATTTTTTTAAAACCTGAGAAATTTGGTATCTTTGCTTAAGATGAAACTAAATACTACATGAGCAGAACTCTACTTTCAGGACAAAAATATTGTTTATCTCAATACAAACCCTACTATTTCCTTCACAGTTTTCCAGAATATCTTCCAACGTTATAGAACAGATTTGAATGTACATAAGGATGGGGGAGGAGAAAAAATTCACTGAGTGGAAAAGAGGAATAATTTCATGAAATTTCAACTGTATTCTAAAGTCTTTAAATAGATTTTCAAGCAAATTAGTCAACTATTTTAGAGTTCTAAGACTTTTTATAATACAATCAGGCCCATACTTTCATTTGTTAGAAATAATTCATATGATTATTCAAATTTAAAGTAATACCAAGAATTCCGTTTATGTATACATATGTTCCTTTTGTTCATCAATTTAAAGCAATGTTTTAATGGTCTACTTTTGAGGTGGTATTTATATTTGTCCTAATTGTACAATGAATTATTTTCAAGCAGTGAGCTCTCAGAATACATCATCCCTTGTCAACTTCTTTCACCTTCTGTTCTTCCATCATTCTTCCAGACCAATCTTTTCCATCTCTCAGCAGGAACTAGCAGATGGGAAAACAGGAGAAATGAAGGGACTTATGAAAGAAATGGGAGTATCCTGGATGCAATCTCTCTTGGTGCCATAGAACTTTTAAGAAGTATAATCAGCATCTATATTCAGAAAATGAGTTCACAGATGGTTTAGAGGGGAGAAACAGCTTCCTGTGGAAAAGAGTGTAATGATCCATAGCATTGTAATATGGGGACTTAGTGAAGAAAGGACTTGCAAAATTTTGTCTAGAGGGGCATCTGTCAGATGCATGGAGGTCATTGCTTCTTCAGTCACCCTAAGGAGATATGTGGGTTCTCTATTAACATAGATGTGCAAGTTTACTACAACAAATCATTAGATATACAAACATTCATGCACCAGTGACTAGCTAGAAATAACTTATAGTACACAAATAGTTTAATCAATATAGCAAGTGAAATTTAGCCTCACAAAGTTTTTTTTGGCCTAAAAATTGATTTAACTTAATCCATTTGACTTTCAACAAAATAATAAAGCTTTATATAATAATTGGTTTAATATTCTCTTGAGGTGATACAAAGACCTTTCATTGTGTATAAAATATCACCTGGCAATTCATTCTTTCAAAACATTCATCATAATACATGAAATATGCATATTGAAACATTCCTCATAATATTATTTAATAATGTTGTCTGAACTTTGATTTTACATAGGTATCATAGTTTTTTATGATTAGTGAACTTTTAGTTTTTATTCACTTAAAAAGTTCATTTCACATTGTAAATGATAACTGTAATTTAGTATATACTGTGTGGCTTAAAAGATATTTTCACTTTTCTATTAGAGTCTTTATTTTTATTTCAACTCACTCTACATAGCAAACGTTCCAAATTAAGATTAAAATATGTAGTGTTTCTGCATAATAGTTCACAACTTACACATTTTAACTTTAATTTTGGTTGAGATTAAGCGGCATTCATTTGTTTTTATTATCATTAAGGTAAATGTAGTCTCATAGGTAGTTATGAATGGAGCAACTATGATTTTTTTCAATGGAACAAAATATGTGGGCAAGAGATTGGATTAATCTTATACTATTGCCATTTACAAGAAATGGGGAGTCCCCTCCTTTCCTTTTATTCCACAACTTGCTGTGGATGGAAACCCTATTTCTAAACCATCTGCAGTGGCTAAGTTCAGTTGATGACCTGCTGTTATATTGTTCTAGTCTCTTTTTAATTCTCTGGTTTCTTTTATTTTACAGTCGCAAAAAAATTGTGGTATACTGTCTTCTAAAAACTATGTCTGAGGGAGGGTTTTTTTATGACTGACAATAAGCAGCATGTCAAAGCTTTGTTGTGTTTTACTTAAGATCTGTTAAGTAGCACAACTTTGATACACTAGTTACAAGAGTTTACAGGTTACTGCGATACCTGTGGTGACCAAAGCAACAGAAGCTGCTTAGTAGAAAGAGTTTGTACAGCTGGGTCTTATTAACTCCTTATGACACTTTTAGAAATGCTAAATAAAGAGCTTGCTTAGGACTGCACAGTATTTTCAGCAGGTCTAGAACCCTGATTGAAAAATACGGTAAGATGCTTAAGTCTACATTTTTTGGTTCTACTATCATATAAGAGAATAAATAATTGTACATAAAGTATATTTATACATAATAATGAGATCGTCTTTATGTTACAGAGCGTTCAAATGGCCTAGGGAAGAATGGCTGGCAATGGACAAAATACTTTATCACAAAAGATATGAAAGATATATCAGTATAAATTTGATATTTAAATGTGTACATTTAAATCCACAAACTTTCAACTAAGATAGTGGGGTTGACTTTTTTATGTTCAATATTCAATAGTTTGGAAAGAAGGAATGTGAAAAACTTCCTTCCTACAAACTTCTTCCAGTCCACTTATCTTAAGCTTGAAGCACTGCATTTGATAAAAGTCAATAAAAATTGAACCCTTAAAATATGGGGACAACATTCCAAGTTCCAGTAATCAACCTCTTTTGGATGAGGCTGAATCTGTCTGAAAGATCAGGAATAAAAGTTCTTCTAGATTCATTGTTGCCGTTCAAAGCTAAAGTGGCCATACTAGCTCAGACTCTTTTGTCAAATTTTCTGACCTTGAAGTTTCCAATAGTTTCTGAACCAGAAGTAGTTTAGTTCACATTTAAATATTTTTAACATAATATATCTTCTTAGTCCAGGTACCATTAATTTTCCTTATGTTACATGATTTTGAAGGTGACTCTAAAATTGAATGCAGTCTAGATCAGTCAACTAGATGTTCATATACCTGCCCAGGTATTAAGATCTTCTGAAGAGCCTGTGCTTTACATCCTGTAGTTGAGAGCTATAAATTACATGAGGTCTCAAGAGAGAGCCTTTTCATCCATTGTTTGGAACATCTTTCTTCTGGAGGCTGAGATAACTGCCTAGCTGCTTTCATTTCAGAAGCAAGCTCAGATTCAAACACATACATTGAATGTTGCTGTATTTTTTATTGCTCATTAGTTCTGATGATGATTATACTAGTTAACTAGTGTTCTTAAAAAATGTTTTATATTGATTTGGATTTTTCCCAGAAGTCCTTCAATAAATGAATAAAACTCACATTAATCAAAAGCTTCCTGTTCATCCAGGCTTTTTCAAGTTGTTTGCAGTTTGGGTATTGCTTTTGGCTAATTTTTAAACAGTTTTTTTAAAATAATCATTTTAATAATTAGATGAAAAGGGCAGATACATATTTAATGCTAAATAGTAATTGTAAGCCATTTAAGGGAGCCTTGGATGTTGTTATTAATACTATAAATAGCTATTTTTACCATTATTAATATTAATAAAGGTAAAGGTAAATTTTCCCCCATCCAGTCATATCCAATTCTAGAGGGCAGTGTACATCTCCATTTCTTAGCCAAGGAAGTCAGCATTGTCCAAAAATACTTTTGATGGTCATGTGGCCAGCATGACTATGCATGGAACTCAGTTACCTAACTGGTACCTATTTATCTACTTGCATTTGCATGCTATCAAACTCCTAGGTGGGCAGGATGGGGTGAGGATGGGAGTTCATTCCGTCATGGAGTGCTCGGGTCTCGAATCCGAGCTGTCAGCTTTCTACAGTAGGTGACAAACTCAGTGTCTTTTACCATTGAGCCATCACACCCCTCCTACTAATGTTAATACTTTCAGTCTACTAATACACAACGTTACATTTGAAGCACTATCTTCCCCCAAAAAATTGCTAACACTATTTCCCTTCACCTTTGTGCCACCTTGATCTAGCCAAAGGTATACACACAATGTAACAAATGAGCAATATACATGAAATAGTTATTTGTATTTTGAAAGCTAACAAATGTAGCCTGGCAAATTATCATCAGTACTGTATTCTTTTGCTTAAAATGTATTGTTGCAAAATTAACGTACTTTTTTGATAAATCATTGTAGGAATTTCATTTTAAAGTTGTAGGACATAATCTATTCTTAGCACCTGCAGCCTACATGAGAAATACTGTTCATAGCACGATGAAATACATGCCAAGGCATACCTGGAGAGAGCATAAGCAAAAAAATTACTTCTCAATTTGCAAAGAAATAATATCAATACTTCACCTCTCCACTATAATGAACTCACACACCCTCCCTTTACTATTCCTAAATATTTGTAAAATGTATTATTTCCATCTCATAGGATGGCCTTCACATTGGTACATCTGAATATTATACCTTCAGTAGTACTTTTGGGCAGATTCAGTGCTGTTCCTTATCAAGAATATTCATGTATCTGCTCTGACTCTGAAATTAGAATGGAATGGAGTGGAGTAGAGTAGAGTAGAATAATTTTATTGTTGCTTTAAATGTACACTAATCAGCGTACATTAAAATGAGATTTTGTTGTATACAGCTCTCAAAGGGTAACCACCTCCAATATACACTACATAAACATTAATTAATTAATCAATTATGCACATACCCACATACACACACATATGTGGCCCAGAAAAACAACACAGTCTAGTTCAGATGTATATATATATACATGGCGAGAAAAAGGAATCTTGCGAGTTTAATTGAAACAGTAGCATACATACTTCAGAATTGCGCTAGCTACCATCTTCCTACTTATTGCAAACTACCAGACCATTCTCAAATAACAATCATGCATAACCATTAAATGACCAGAATGGGGAAGTCTCTAGAATTATAGCCACATTTTAAAATATAGTAATGACAATTAGAAATTTCTGAACTTGATCTCTCTCCCAGGTGTCCATGCTTAGGCATAAATAGGTATTTAATAAAAAATACCTATTATTTTATTTTATTGTTTATTTTTATTTTGTGTGTTTATATTGGATCTACAATTGTATATTTTTAATAAAGTGAAACTAAAAGGCAC